TCAATAGAGTGCTTATCTGAAAAGACTTCAAGAAAGAAAACAAAAGAAGGCAAAGCAGACAGAAACAGAATAGATAGTGTTATCATGTTGCAAAAGTAAGAAGCGAATCATTTGGAAAAAACAAACGAACAGTGTAAGAAGCAAAACAAAATTAAAATTACCCAAAACATTTAGTGTTCGATTACTTCACCTTGTTGAGTAAATAATTAGGAAGATTCGAAAAGTACAAGAAACCATTTTGAATATTATATACTAGTTGCAGGACGCTGCGAATATTCAAAACGATTCAGATAGATAGAACATTGAGATTCATGAGTATAGATATACGGGTGTGGGTGTCGTTAAAGAGAAGAATAACACCCACACCCCATATAATATACAAACACCATCATTTTAGAAGAAATGCTGTCAAACAGAATCATCTCAATCCGAATAACGCTCGCAAAGATATCCAGGCAGACAAAAGTTCCATAAAAGCGTTTAAAGGCGTTTCTGGATAAAGATTGTAAAAAATGCTAAAAAGAGTAAATTTTAAGCGTGTATACGTACATACTTTGCATTTTCATAGTTGGTACCCGTTTACAAGCACAGAATCTGAATTGTATGAACGTGTTCACGCGCATTTAAAGGCTTAAAAAGCTCAACTTTTCAAGTATTCGCACGCGTATTCAGGATCTCCTTTTCGGTCGGAGACCAGTGAAAATGCGGTGAAAAAAGTTAGATGTGGAAAAATCGATCGTTTTCGCAGGTTATTTTTACCGGCCGTGCTTTGCTGACTGTTGGGAACCACGATTGACATCCAGAGACACCCGGCTTTGTTGTGCATTTACCCACGTTCCCAGAAATTGTTGTTTACGTGAGTACTGCTCATATAACTGTAATTAAATAAAAGCTTACTAGCTCTCCGGAATTTGAAGAAAAGTAGTAAAGATACACAAACTAGATGAACATATTCATTTTTAGGATAGATGTGCTTCTATCTAATATAAAACATCATATATTGATATTATTTATTAAAAAAACAAGAGAAATAGTTAAAATATTTTTTTAATGATATTTTTAGATATTAAAATAAGTAGAGATGCATTAAAATAGCTTTTTAGTTCTCCTTGGGGTTGATGCTATCTTTGATTATGAATAGAAAGCCAAAACGATTTAAGACTCTTTTTTTTTGGTTGATATGAATTCACGAAGATAAGTCACGAATGGCAATTTATCGATTAGTTCCAGAGCTCGTAAAATTGAATTGTTGAGTGATAATTGTATCAAAATCTAACAGTCGACGGCATAATTTATAATGACTATCACACAGACCATTATCATCAGCCACAAAATAAAAAGTTTTACAGATCTCCTTTAATAAATATGATTATAATTCTTGTTGAATAAATTTGTGATTTATACATCCTTTTCATATTACGATACAAACAGCGAATTGTGACATGTTTTAAAGTTTAAGACAATACACACTTCATTGTAATTGTTTTTTTTTATATTCAACTATGAGCAAAACAATGCCACTAAAAAACAATTAGAGAATAGCATGCTACTACAAAATTTCAATTCTTGTGACAGTAATGGATCCTCTTTAGTGTTCTCTTCTAAATACAAGGTAGACATGTATTTATACATGTACAGTTACTGTTTTTCTAAAAATATATTTGAGTGCCGAAATTTTTTGAAAATACTGTTATGCAGACTTTTCTTGCAAAATTGAAAAATAGAATATTTAATTGAATATGTTGAAGCTGATCAGCAACTTTTGTCATATCAATTGACACTGATCGCTAATAACGTTCTATCTGATTGCTCTGTAATGAAGAAATAATTCAGAACTTTGACAAGGAGCGCATAATTTCTGAAGAGTATCCTCATCAATTTCGATACAATGAATACGGTCTCCAGAAAAGTGTTGCACTTCCAGTTTTGCGATGATCTACAAAATGTTTGTGACTAGTTTTCCGCTTTCAGTGATGAGTTGCAGTTACAGAGACGCATTCAACTTTGCAAAGTTAAGCTACCAAGAGATTTTGATTAATTCTACTTCATATGAAATACTGATAGGAATACTTGATCATCAGCATGTACTTAGACTAATGAGAGCTGATGAATTCATTACAATTCAAAATGCTGAACCGCAATTGATGCATGCCTACTATATATAATCACTTGCAATTAAACAAGTTTGCTTTATTAACTCTCAAGCTAAAACAAAGAAGAAAAGAAAATCATTTTTTCTAAGTAAACTATTTTGACCGAAAATGAAACATATGAATTCAAATTAGCCGGACAACTATCGCTACCTGCATGTAAACATTATATCCATTTCACCGAAAAAATTGTTTTGATTCAAATTAAAACTAGAAAAAATAATTGATATCGATCCACATGCATAGATGAAAGTGATGTCATATATATCGGACTAAAATCTTGAGTACCAATCACTTCATTAACATGAATGACATATATTACATTTTATTGTTTAGTGAACTGTCTTCTTTTGATATATTTATTTGCTCTGTATTTTCGATAAATCTGAACATATAAATCTAGGATTTCCATAACGTATAAAGTGTGTAATGTCTAAGCAGGAAATAAGTTGGGAAATGCCATATTTTATATTAAAATCAACCGATGAGCCAAGTTTTTTATGTGAGCTACAGCTTTCAAGCTATGAATTTTCATCATAAAAATGTGTCAATTCAAATAAAAGAATGATTTTTTTCGTGAAAACTTTTCAGAAAATGAATTGAACTTAAGTTTACGTATCCATTTCAAACGATAGTTCTATTGATGATTCCTAGCAGTTTAACTGTTTTTTTCAATTGATTATTACATTGATAAGTTTCGCATTCTGAAAATCTATCTCGAATAATTTCGTTTGTATTTCAAGCTTTGTGCTGTTACATCTGTCATCAAAATCTATGTTTAAGTTTTACGACAGATATAATTTCATAAATTTTCAAACAAGTTAACGAACTGCTTTAATATTCCTGCTGAAAACGATAATTTGAGCTCTTGAATTGTCGGTACGGTCCTAGACATAATCGCATTTTCTTTAAAAACTCTGCACATGATTTTCTTTTTTCTTGTAGCTTCCTCTAATGACCTAATCACAATAAGTCTTTTATTTATTATTGTTGATTTCGCATTGCTTTAATCTATTTTGTATATCATAAAATACGATTGTGTACTGATCAACCTTTGAGAGCCGAAGTGCTATTTTTTGTTTTAATTATAATACCATATTGAGTAGTTAAGAATTTAATAAAAGTGCCTTGATGATAAGTCTTTAAAAAATAGAGCATGGATGTCTTTTTGATGACATTCATTAATACTCTCTTTGCCAGTATCATGAATAGACTATCACGAAAAAATAAAGAAATTCTTCATTTTTCTATAATTGTATAGATAGAGAAAGTACTAATAATATATTTTTTATTATGTCGTATAGAAAAACAAACCAGAAACTTTTTCATCAATCACTTCGAATTCATAGCAATCGTACTGTCATCAACGTTCAACAGCATATAAAATACGTACGTAATGAATCGTTTTGGTGATATCGATTTTTCATTTAAAAGACTATCACCTGTTTATGGTTATCATGCTGAAGAACTTGTTTCAATTGAAAAAGCACTAAAACCTATCGAACCTCAAATCAACGAACTATCTCGTTTTATAACAATAGCTAAAAAACACTGTCATTTTCCATCGGAACATGGACTAACACAGGATCAATCAGCAGCTGTTTATATTTATACAATGGAATGGGGTAATACAACTTTGTATCGTATTTTAAATAAAGCATTACGCTCCGAAAATCGACAAGAATTAAAGATATGGTTTTCATATTTAAAATTATTTGATACAGCATTGGATAAGTTACCTACTGTTAAAGAGGTGGTATGGAGAGGTGTGCCTCTTGATATTGGCAAAAGCTTCACCAAAAACCAAATTGTGACGTGGTGGACTATTAATTCATGTTCATCATCAGTAAATGTTATTAAAAATTTTCTTGGCAACGACAAAAATTCAACGCTGTTTTTAATTGAAACCATTAAAGGAATAAAAATTTCTGGATACACAGAATATGAAAATGAAGATGAAATAATTCTACGAATGGGCTCACAATTTCGCGTGAAGAGCGATACTTTAGATCAATTGCATGGTTCACATGTCGTACACTTAATCGAGATAGATGATAACAATGATCAACCATTAGCATCGATTATGAATGAAATACAATTAGCTGCAAAATCATCACATACAAGTACTTCGAGTAAGTTATTCATTCTTTTTCTCAATGAAATGGTGTTTTATATGATACATATGTATAAAGTAACCAAAAAATGTCTGAATATTGATTCATTTCTATATGATAAAGAAAGAAATTAGATAATTGTATAAAAATCTTTAAATAATGCAAAGTCTACGATGTTAATAAAGAAAAACTTCTACTAACGAAGTTTCGATAAATAAAAAATAATATTTGGTTATTTTTTCAAGAATTGTTTTCATCAGGATGTGGGTGGGTGTAGGTGTCGATGTGGGGTATGGGTGGAAAATAAGCGACGATCTACATGCAAACTCATACCCCACACCCACACCCTCAAATTAATCATTGACCGAAGTTATTATAAATCTATGATTTAGAAGCTTGCTTTTCAACTTGGAGCTGGTGTTAAATATCTTCCTGTTCCTAAATCTGCTTTTACTTAGTATTTAATCGAATTGGGAACACTTAGAGTTAATAGAGACATACTCGTCTGCTTTAATTTAAATGTATTGTTCTTTGGACAATATGTTAGTTAAACGAGTTATGTCAAGTGACAATTCTCAAATTTATTCATTTTATGTCAACGCATTAAAACAGATGTTTTGTTCATGTTAAAGCGCATTCAATCATCTAATCTATCAATTGGGCACGTTTTGACATACTCATAGATCCAATATTTCCCCTAAACTAGTGAAAACGCCTTGGTAGCAAAAAATTATAGTTTTTACGCGTTTAATTCTTAAATTTGTCGAGTGAACGAGTTTTAAAGCGTTAGTTTCTCCAGTTTTTAGATTCAACACGTGAAAGTAGCGTGTGTAACGTTTATCTGTCTGTATGGGTATCACCATGCTACATTATAGCATTTTTATTATTTTTTTTTGCATATACTTCGTATATTTGATGATTAGTCAATTTTTTTCATCATATAAGTTAATACATTTGTGTACTTCTAAGAAGCTGGCATATATTTCATAGAATCATTTAAGTATTATATCTTTGTATGTTAATGAGAAATTTTATAAATACTCGTTTGATTATCAAACTTTCTGTCGATAAGAACAAAAGAGTTTCTTTGATTCTATGCGTTTATATCTGTAGATATGATGGATCTATGGGCCAAACTAAAAAAAGCAGCAGTGCAGAAAAATTCCGTGCTTATATGCTTTATAAAGGATGAGATGATCAAAAGCTGTCGGACGAAAGTTTTATTTTCTTATATGAGAAATTATAGATCATTTTTCGATAAAGAAATTTCGAATAGAATTTTCTATTGAGAAACTGTTTTGCTCAGAATAGATGCACTAAAGTGATTAATTAACGTTTTAACTGCCAATAAAAATTGATTACAGAAAAGCGAAGATATATTACGAAATGAAGTTTGTGTTGGTCTATTGAATCTGCATTCAGAATATCGATTCAACCTAAAATGTTCAACAGTTTCACTTTGATAGTTTTCTCTTTCTTGCAAAGCATAGACAGGAAATAAAGTATTGCAATAGAATGAGAAAATAAATGAAGAAATTAAAAAAAAAACTTTCTTAATCCAACCGATTAGACATTTTTTAAAGAAAGCATGTGTGTGTGAGTGTATGTGTGAGTAATGAAAGCACCACCGCCACAATCTTTTTTGCAAACTTTCTGACTTGTGACAGGAACTAATCGAGTTTTCAGTAACCGCTATTACTATTTCGTTTGTGAAATAGTTCTATCGTATAAGAAGTTCACAAAATCGAAGGAAGATATGGTTCAAATTTTATAAAAATTAAAGATGAGTGTAGTTTCCAAACTTGCACAAAGTTAAGAAAATAAAACTGATAGTTTACTAGAAATGAGAGAAATATATAATGTAAACAAATATCTGCAAACCAATGAAAGATGTACTCCAAGTCTAATTCAAAGTAGAAGAAAGTCAATATCAAATTTATAAAACAAGAGAGGATATCCTTCCATAGCTCTTTCTTTATCGTTGACACGTATATGAATGTAAATATCTTACTTGTTATTCAGAACATCTTGAGAAAGGTGCTGGCATGAAATGTGGATGTGAAAAGCCTGACGTGCATCCACGCTGACATCCCAAATGAATAGATAACTATGTTTATAGCAGTTCAAAATTTTAAGCATTTTGGAATCGTGATATTCACATTTCATAATTAGTAGGAATGTGAGATATGTCACTCCTTGTTAATCTTCCAACAATAAATTCACAAATTAGTCAAATTATTCAATGTGAATTAAAATTTTCAAATTAGGAATAGCAACAGAAGAAAGTTAATTAAAATTACTGGAAATATAAAAACAACTTGTCTAATGAAATTTTCGTAAACAGAGACTAACTGAACAAAATTGTACGTTTTACAGTCATCGCTTGTGCTCGGTATCAAAGAATGATAAAGCATGTTTTTATTCATAGAAATAGACAATTGCGTGAGAATTGAATGATGAATCTTCTTATGAGAATACATTGTTTCGAAATTGTCATTCTGTGTCAAAATAACTCGAGTTATAACTCTACGTGAAATAATTAAATTTTTTAAAATGACATATTATCACAAGCATCTCTATTCAAAGCAGTGATTACGTGATGTTTTCATTTGAGGATTATATATTTCACCGACATGCGACCTTATTGTGCTGTGAAATATGTGCCTTACATTGTCTACTGTTGATATTTATTTTGGATAATGCATGCAACCAATTTTATCATTCCGTTGTCGTTACTACATGTATATGAATAATTAAAATTGTGTTGTTATTTCTACCGAGTTCTTGATCATGAGAAATTTTAAAAAGTGAGACAAGAGTCTTAGAAGATTAATTATGAGCATTCGTTTTAATAGAATGGTTGTTAATCGCCAAAATCCTACTCGAGTTCTATATTACTTCTGACCTCGAGAACTGTTCCAACAGTTCTTTGAAGTAGTTCACAGAGATGCGATCAACTTGGTTTCAGATCGAACCATACTGAACCAAACCGAAACTGGTTTTGTTGGAACAGTTGAAAACCGAAGTGAGTTTGGCTCGGTTCTAAAGAAACATGAACCAATCGTATCTCAGGCAGTTCACTGAACTTATGAACAACAGCTGCTGTCGCTTATCGTAAAAAAAGCCGAGATCTTAAAAAAGAATAATTGCGTAGAGTTGGGAGCTCTCGTAGATCTAGTCGTATTGTATTATATTAGTCGACTATGTAAATAAAAATTATATTCGACTCTAAGAAATCAAAATGTACTTGAGATATCCTTTGTAAGACTTTTAAAGTTTTCTCTCATTTTCATAAGTGATTCTAATCAAATTGAGAGATTAATTAGATTTAGAGAGATATATTCACCCTACAGAAACTAGAAATTCGAGGAAATTGAGTAGAATTTTCTGTTTTGGGCGCCTATATCGATATTACATGTATTAATTTTTGTAAACGTTGTCTACGACAAGAAAAGCAGTTTTCGTTTTTGCTCAACATATACCCAGATTTTCGTGAAATAACAACAGATTTTCCCTACAATTTTAAATCGACATGAATGGCATATGAAACCTTTGTTTTTGATTCCATGTATCCATCTAAAATGTGAGTAGAATGTCATCGGATATTCATAGTTAACAGAATCGAAAGGATGAGCTTCTTATTCAGAAAAGACTTTCTTCTGAGGAGTAGATGCCATCTGTGAAGAGACTTATTTCTTCACTCTGAGATAACAAAGATTAATCCTTTTTGTAACATCTTTTCGATCTGTGA